AAAACGATAACCATTGATAATTTCCTACCATTTTGTCTGTAATTTGCTAAGTCCCCCCTATTATTATGTTATCCTTCTTTTATTCTTTAAAATAAAAAATTTAAAAAAAAAAAAAACAGGGCATGGGCCAGGGATATAGCTCAGTGGTGCAAGCGCCTGCCTGACAAGCGTGAGGTCGTGAGTTTGATTCCCAGTTCAAAAAACAAAAACAAACAAACAAACAAACAAAAAAAGGGCAATTAGGGGTCTATACATTTTGAGAATGAAGGCCGGGGTCATCCCTACTTGGAAAACGACCTGGATGAGATAAAGTACAAACTGGGGCTGGGGCCTCTCGAAGGCACAGTGGAGAAAGGTGAGAGTGAATTTCAGTTTGTGTCTGGTCCAGTTACAACTAGGAGGATTGTAGCTTTTTTTTGGTACTAATCTTTTTATCTTAGTCTCCAAGAAAAACACTCTTCTCTTTTTATTGGTATCAGGAATCGAACTCAGGGCCTCGTGCTTGCCAGGCAGAGAGAAAAACACGCTTGACAATGATCTTGAAGGGAGCCCTGTAACAGACTGGGCCTATGGCTTTCTTCTTGGGAGGTAAGTAAGAAACCAAGAATGTGTTTGTCAGTATACAACAAATTTAAGCCTGATATTTCAGTATGGGAGCTGGATATAATGAAAGGGCTCAAGGCATGGACTGTACTGAACACAAAACTTGTATGTCCCTTACAAGTTTTAAACTTGCAGGAAGCCCTTCGTATCTTAAGCAATTCCTTGTTTCCAAAAGGGACGCCCGCCTCCAAGGCCACCACCATCTTTATCCACATCCTCTCTGCCCTTTTTGTGGCCAGAGCTGGAGTCCACCTGAAGTAGTCAGACTGCAGACTATCTTCACACCTCACATGTTGAACCTATCTCTCAGAGTCACACTACTATTTCTTTTTTGTTGTTGTTTTGTTTTGTTTGCTTGTTTTTCACTTTTCGAGACAAGGCCTCACTATGTAGCCCAGGCTGGTCTCAAACGCGCAGGATCCCGCAGCCTCAGCCTCTTGAGTGCTGGGATCACAGGTGTGTGCCACCATGCTCAGCCCCATTTCTCAGTCATATCACACACCACCTCATGGGCCACGAGATCTGGCTTCCAGAGGGGACATCCAGGATGCAGCAGCTGCAGCCTCTGAGTCTGTTTCTATGGGGTGATCTTGACCAATAGAACGTAAGAAGCAAGAGGGAGCTGGGCAGATAAGTTCCTCCTCTTCTCCCTTCTGGGGGTTACTCCAAGATGTGACTTCACTTTAGACCCTGTCTGAGGAAAGCCATCATCACTGAGGAAAAGTGCCTGTCACACAACCGGCTGTCGCTTTCTGTGGCTGAGTTTGATGTGGCAGAGAGTGTATAAAGCTGCTGTGCTGCACCTCCCTTCTGCTCCTCTCCCTCAACACTCTGAGTTTGGGCCGCCTTCTGGAACATACTTCCCCACCTCCTGCATCCATATTAACCCCACAATTCAGCTCCATTCCTTCTTCTGCCATCCCAACCCCCCAACACACACACACACACACACACATACACACACACACACACCAGGCCTCTGAGAGGGGCTCCCATAGCACCAGCCCACACCACTAACTTGTCACAATCTTCATTTTTGTTTTAATTAGAGAGTAACTTTATAATAGTCAAAAATAGGTGACACTATCTTAACCATATAATCAAAGTTTGAGACATGAGTACTGCCATAAACCAACATGACATGCATTTGACCTAATAAACCAAGTAGGACACTGTGATCCTCTATAGCATCTCCATAATCTCTAACAAGTCCCTATTGGCAGGTCTGTAATCTCAGCACTCTGGGAGGCTGAAGCAGAAGGAATACAATTTCAAGTCCCACCTGGGTAATTTAAGTGAGTTAATGAGAACTTGTCTCAAAATAAAAATTTTTTAAAAATGGCTGTGAATGTAACTCTGTGCAAAGACCCTGGGTTCAATACTCAGTATTAAAAAAAAATCTATTGGCCCAACTCATCTGTATTTTTTTTTTTTTTTATGGTACTGGGGATTGAACCTAGAGCCTCATGTGTGGTAGAAAAGCACTCTACCAGTGAGTATGCCCCCAGCCTTTTTGTTTGTTTGTTTTTATCTTTTTGAGACAGGGTTTCACTATGTAGCCCAGGCTGGCCTCAAACTTGCAGCAATCCTCCTGCCTCAGCCTCTCAGGTGCTGGGATTACAAGCATGCACCACCATACCCAGTTAGCTCTTTTTTTTTTTTTTTTTTAAACACAGGTTCTCACTATGTAGCCTAGAACTTGTCCTCCTGCCTCAGCATCCTGAGGAGCTGAGATTATATGTGTGTGTCACCATGCCCAGCTGCCACCTGATATACTGAGGCAGAGTCCTTTACCCTCTCTGGGTTGGCGGCACCAAGAACAGTGTATAGTGAATAGTCATGGATCTTTGGCATAAATCACAGGAAAATTAGTGAAAGAAGTCTAGGTCCTGGTCCCAGCTCTACAAGCAACTCTAGGAATACTGAAAATCTCTGGCCAAGGTACTTCATTCCCTCCACTTCAGTTTACTTTCCCGAGAAATGGGAATGATGTTCCCTATCCTCTTTCCAGTCTGAGGATCTAGTGAGACAGAAACTGGGATTAGTGTTCCGATGCAGCAGGGGGAAAGGAAGTTTAAGATACCACCACTGATGCTATTAACAGTAACCACTAATAGTGTGGATACTAAGAATGACCTGCTTAGTTGGAGGAAATTCTCCTCCTTTCCTGCAAGACTGCCTGGTTTTGCCTTTATCCTCTGCTCAAGGATGGAAGCCAGGTCTCCTCCTCCTCAACTTGTCTCACAGATTCCATGACTTTATTTATTTTTTTTTTTTTTTGCAGCACCAGGGATTGAACTCAGGACCTTGCACATGCCAGGCAGGTGCTTGTGTCACTGAGCTATATCCCCAGCCAGATTCCATCACTTTAAAAAGTCCTTCCACAAGTTTGAGCCACATCCTTCCTGTTGCTACCCTGTCCCCTCCCTCCGCTCGTCTCCTCAAAGCAAAATATGAAGTTCGGCTCTCTAGAAGCCCTGGACACCCTATAAAGCTTATCTGGAACGAGGGAAGAGAGAAAGGATCAGGAGGGGTGAAAGTTAGATAGGAGGAGGACTTCCCAGCACCTAAACCCAGACTGACACCAGCCCAGCACCACCTTCAGCTACTTGGCTTCTGGGGGCAGGACAAGTGTCTTCCGGCTTTCCGTGACGTGGGCCCTCTGCCGGGGCTGAGGCTGTGGTTGAAGCGACATTTCCTGTCCCTGGGGGCCAGGGTGAGAGGAGAGATGAGTTGCTGAGTGTGCACACCTTTTAGGCACACACCCGCTCTGCCCTGGGCCCCTGCCCAGGCTGCCCCCATGGAGATGCCCCTGGCCCAGGTATGCTGTCAAGGTAAGTGTGAAGTCCAGGCGTCGGTGGCAGGGACCATCAAGGCCCTCAGCCCAAACTAGAGCGGGCAAGGCTGACTGGCAAATGCCACAATCCCTACTCCCTGCCCGGGAGGCCATGTCCACTTTGCCGAGGATAAAGGCAACACGGTTTGCTGAGCGCTTCTTAGAGAGGAGAAAGGAGGGTGGCTGGCAGAGGACCCTGAGCCAGAAGAGGGGCCTAACCGAAGAGCTCTGCCTCTCTGGGGCACTGCTGGGCCATCCAGAGATCAGCCTAATTCCCAGGTTCTTCCCCCTGGAACCCCGCTTACCCCCACCCCCTCTGGCAAGGTTAGTCTCTCTGACTCCTTACTCCCCAACCCTGAGAACCCCCTGGTGTCCCCTCTGTGCTTGTTCTGTCATGACCATCCTGCCCCAAGGGATGGAGAGGCAGAGGCAGAGGCAGAGGCAGTTCAGCCCTCTTTGCGCTAACAGGGAGTCACAAAGCCCCGGCCCCCACCTTCACCACCCTCCAGCCCATGGACATGGCCCGAAGGAGCTGCCAGGGCCTGGGCTTGTTCCCGGAGCCCACACTGCAGACCCTAAGGGCAGAAGAGCCCCAGCCCAGTCCTAGGGCCCCGGCTGCTGCCCACACTTCGGTGAGTAGGAAGATGGGGTGGGGGTGCCTCCCTCATCTGCTCCTGCCCTCCCATGAGTGCAGTTACCTTTGTCTACGCAAAGGTCACCAAGGATCTGGGGCTCCCCTCAGGGCTGGGGCTGCAGAGGGTGGAAAGGAGATGGGAATCCCTCCTTCAAGGGCAACTCTGCCTGCTCCCGCTGCCCCTGGGAGCTCAGGCTAGGACCACAGGCGGCCAGGGTCTCTCTAGGTCAGTGCCTCATCCGCCCAGTGTGTTCCAGGCCCTTCTTGGTCCTCATTCACTGCTCACCAGGAGCCTCTCTGCAACCCGCTCAGTCCCTGCTCTTCCTCATCCAGCCTCTGGGATGATGTCCTGCACCGTCTCCCTTCCTTCCTCCCCATGCCAGGGAGTGGCTTTCCACCCATCCGGAAGGCCTGGCTGCCTCTCTCCCCTCTTCACAATAGCTCACTGGTCCTGGATTAAAGGCCCTGCAGATCCGGGTGGTGGTGGGAGAATCCCTGGAAAACAAACAGCAGGAGCTGAGGAAGGGATTAGATCAGTGACTTTCCGGACTTTCTTTCTGGGCAATTCTACCTTAAAGTGGAGGAGGGGCCAGGGGAGGAGGAGAAGGCGGAGGAGGAGCCCACTAGGCTTCCTTGAACCCTTCTCTACCCAGGCATTTCCCCCAGCCCTGGGAGCTGCCTCTGTCCCAGGGAATGCAGAGGCTGAAGAGGTGCCCGAGGAAGGCAGCCTGTCTCTGCAGGCCGAGATCCGGGCTTGGTTCCAGAAGACTCAGGCCCACTCGCTCATGCAGTGCGGGGCAGCCCCTGCCTGGTTCCACGGCTTCATCACCCGAAGGTGAGGCACAGAGGAGGACACAGGCCCAGCAAGCCGCGGGACAGGTCCTGGGCCCTGCAGCGGGCCAGAAATCCATCCAGGCTGGGACCCCTGGCTCCTGGGGTTTCCTTTTGCTTGGATGGTTTTCCTCGGGAGGGTCACTGAAGAGGCTCCAGCCTAGCCCTGTTTCTCAGTTTCCGCTCTGTAGGGTCCTTTATCCTCCTGTCTTTGAGGACTCTAGTCCTCCTGTGTTCAGCTTCTCTGTACCTCCACTTCTTCATTTTTCCTTTTATCTCTCCCTTTTTTTTTTTTTTTTTTTTTCTTTTTATCTTTTTTAGATAGGGTCTTGCTATATAATCCAAGATGGACTTGAACTCACTGTGTAGTCCAGCCTAGCCTCAAACTAATGGTAATCCTCCTGCCTCAGCCTCCTAAGTGTTGGGATTACAGACATGTGCCACCACATCTGGCTTTTTTTTTTTTTTTTTTTTTTTTTTGCAGTACTGAGGATTGAACCCAGGACACTTGCAATGAGATACATCCCCAGCCCTTTTTATTTTTATTCTGAGACAGGGTCAAGTCACTAAATTGTCCAGACTAAGCTCAAACTTGCAATTCTCTTGCATCAGCCTCCCAGAGTGCTGGGATTACAGGTGTGCAGCACCAGGCCCGGAGGCCTCCCTTGCTCCATCTCTGGCTCTATCCAGCCTGCTCCTCTTCCTTCCCTCCCTGCTTCTCCTTCTAACCCTTTCCTCTACTTCTCTGTTCCACTCCCGTCTCTTTCTTCGCCTTTTCAGTCCAGCTTGTGACTTCTCAAGTCTGGAAATCTAATAACCGTCCCTACTGCTGTGGGCCCCAGCCCCTCCAGGTTGACCTACCAGGTCGAGGCCGGGGCGGAGCCAGGCTGAGGTCCCGCTTCCCTAGTCCCGCAGTGGACCCTGACTCCTGGGTAGCCTTCAGCTTTTCCAGTTGGTGTGGGGACCCTCACGAGAGTGGAGGAGACAGGAGACAAGGCTGGAAGGTCAGAGCCAGGCTTCCTGCCTCTCTCTGTCACCCACAGGGAGGCCGAGAGGCTGCTGGAGCCCCAGCCTCTGGGATGCTACTTGGTGAGGTTCAGCGAGAGCGCCGTAACCTTCGTGCTAACCTACAGGTGAGGGCGGGGCCGCTGGGGGGAGGCGGGGCTTAGGTCAAGGGGCGGGGCTCGGTGCTGGCCCGGAGTCCCACAGACCCGGTTCTGCGCTCCCCTCGCGGCCAGCTCGGGGTGAGACCCCGGCCGGGGGCGGGGAGGGGTGCAAGTCTGATCCCCAGTGGCCTCTGCAGGAGCCAGGCTTGTTGCCGCCACTTTCTGCTGGCCCAGCTCACGGACGGGCGCCACGTGGTGCTGGGCGAGGACAGCGCCCACGCACGGCTGCAGGACCTGCTGCGCCACTACACTGCGCGCCCGCTCAGCCCCTACGGGGAGACGCTCACCCAGCCCCTCGCCCGCCAGGTACGCGCCCGCGGCCTCGCCAGACCCTCTTCCAACGGACCCAGGGGCACCTCCCTGGCCGTAGGGGCTGGCAAGAGACCAGCCCGGCTGCACAGACCGCAGGGACAGGGATAGGCACACCCCATGTGACCTTTAAAATAATGCTTACAGAGCTGGGCATGGTGGTAACACACTTGTAATCTGGAGGCTGAAGTAGGAGGATCGCTGCAAGTTTGAAGCCAGTCTGGGTGCATAGTGAAACCCTGTCTCAAAAAAAAAAAAAAAGATAAGCTTACAAAGTATCTAGTATCTCCTGGGCTGACAGCGCCTGGGAGTGAACCGGTGGATGAGATAGGAGGATCTCGGGGCTCGGGATTTAGCTCAGCGGCACAGCGCCTGCCTGGCAAGGGCAAGGTCGTGAGTTTGATCCTCGGTACGGGGGGTGGGGGGAGGGTAGGATCTCATACAAACCTCACTTTCCAGCAGCGGTAAGAATCAAGTGTTAGGGACCAAGTATGAGGAGCTGCCAGGGAGTGCCAACCTGAACAAGTCCAGGGAGTTCTGAGACATGATGTGCCAGTGGGCGTCCTTCTGGGTGCTGGGGAAATGGTGAACAAAGCTGACCATGCTTTCCCAGCCCTCCTGATGCTGACGGGTAACAATAATAGTAAACCAATAGTAATCGTATGTCCACTAAAAAGAAGAAAAACTAAAACTAACAGCTGGAGAGGCAGCATGCTAGGCTGGAGTAACAGAAGGTGCAAAGGCCCAGAGGTAGCATTGCAGAATCTAAGAGGCCAGAGAGACTACAAAGGGAAAAAGGAGGATTTATTTTCCAGGATTTTAGATCACATCGACCCAGCCGAGCTCATGTCCAAAGTGTTGGGCATTAGAGCAAAGGAAAGGTTCTAGTTTTATACATTTGGTTGCGAGGGGGAAGGCAGTTGGGGGGGGGTTGGTCTTTAGAAATGGGCGGGGTGGGGGATAAAGGTACAGAAGCGAGACAAAGCAATTAATAACTTAGCCTTGAAAGAAGACAGAGCCTTACAAATCCTGTGAGAACAAGATGACGTAGACTCTGCTTACAGGACATAGTTGCCAATCTTATCTGTGCCAGAACAAGAAGTTACAGCTGCAGGCAGAGAGGTGTTTCCAGGGGGATTGCTCTTTAAGTGCCAATTCAGTAGGAGGATGTCTGACAAATAGAGAGCAGTGAGGAAGCCAGCATGCGTGCATCAGTGTGACTGAGGGACAGAGAGGTGGAAGATGAGATCAGAGAGATAGGCCAGGGGCCCTGTGGACTCTTGTAAGGACTTGGGATTGGGTGAGGGAGATGAAATCACACTAGAGTTACAAGGGATGTCAGGGCCAGGCAAGTCTGGGAGGGGCAAGGAGGTTCCTGTGTAAGGGATCGGTGGAGTGGGAGGCCCAAACCAGTGTCGAAAGCTGAGAGAAGAGGGCAGACATGAAAGATGTTTAGGTGGCTGGGCGTGGTGGCACACACCTGTAATCCTAGCACTCAAGAGGCTAAGGCAGGAGGATTGCTGTGAATTTGAGGCCAGCCTGGGCTACACAGTGAGTTCAAGGCCAACCTGAACTGCACAGTGAGACCCTATCTCAAAAAGATGAGAAAGAAAGAAAGATAGATAGATATTTAGGCAGCAGAAGGAGCAAGACTTGGGTTGGATCTGATGCAGGAGCCAGGTGGGTATGTGGATGATTCCTAAGGTGCTATTTGGGCAACAGGGTGGACTTGCTACTTTTTTTCAGTACTGAGAACTGAACCCAGGGCCTTTGCACTAAACTATATCCCCAGCCCTTTTTTATTTTGAGACAGGGTTGCCCCGGCTGGGCTCAAACTTATGACCCTCCTGCCTCAGCCTCCCAGAGTGTTACAATTATAAGCATGCACCACCACACCGGCTTGGGTTGGCACTTTTTATTTTTGAAGGAAATTCGCAGTGGGGGAGCATGGAGAAAAACTTCTAGTTTGGATCCCGGAGGCCTGCAGTGGATTGCAGAAGCATAAGAAAGGCCCTGTGGCCTGGGTCTGCGAGAAGCAGAGCATGTGGAGAACAGTGAGGCGTCCAGAGCCAGTGCTGAGCTACAGAAGGCTGAGCATAACCTTCCCACCTGAGGGCTCAGGTCTCCCCCAGCACATCTGCCTCTAAAACAGTTAGCTACGCCTCCATACCTTAAACTCCTTCCACCCAGAGAAGTGATCCTCAGGTATGACGGCCATGGAGACCCATTCCCAGCTCACCATCCCGAAGCCTCATCATCCTGAGGATAAAGAGGGCTTTACACCTGTTGCATTTTTACAACCTCAGGCACAAAGGATGACTGGCCTGGCCCTCCCTTTCCAATGGAAAGAAACTGAAGGCTAAGGCAGTGGCTGTGACAGAGCTCACCCTTCTCTTTGCCCCGCCCCACATGCACTGCCCAGCCACGGTTTCTATATCCCTTTCCTTCCCCTCCCCATCCGCTCCCAGGTCAGATGCTCTGTCCTCCTGGATCCCCCTCCCTCAGTCCAGTCCCTGCCCCCACCCAGCCCCTCAGGTTGCCTCCTTTTCTGGCAGACTCCAGAGCCTGCAGGACTTTCCCCAAGGACTGAAGATTCAGACTCTGCAAGCAAAGGCCGGGACCCAAACCCCCTGCACAAACGGAGCCTGGCACCAGCCCCAAGGCACAGAGAAAGGGCTTGGGAGACTAAGGAGGTACTACAGGGAGAGGGGAAAGTCTGGGGCTGCAGGGAAGTATCAAAGGGTACAAAAGGGGCAGAGGCCATGGAGGGTGGGCCCCTGTCCGGGCTGGGACTGGGCAGGGATTCCACGGCTTGGGCTGCCCTGACCGCCCTCCGGCCATATCCTCGTCCAGGCCCCACCCCCCAGATCCAAGCCTCCTGTCCCCGCCAAGCCTGCATTGCCCCCTGAGCTCTACGCAAGCCCCATGCCACGACCCCGACCAACCCCACCACTCATGCCGGCGCCCCCCATCTACCACGAGCCCGACGAGCCCATTGCTTTCTACGCCATGGGCCGGGGCTGCCCCACTGAGGCTCCCAGCCACATCTATGCGGAGCTGGACAGGCTGGAGGTATGCAGCCAGGTGAGGGGAAGCCACTGGCAGGTGGGCGGGAAGAGACGGGACCACGGGGTCAAACCGCCCATGACCCTCTTCAGCGCCAGGCAGAGATGGCTTCTTCTCATCCCTCCAGGGTCCCCTCTGTCACACCCGCCTTCCTGCTTCCCAGAGAGAGTAGAGGAGCCACTGGTGTCTCCCTCCCTGGACTTGTGCCTCAGCTGCACTGTGGTCTGTGGCCATCCCGGCCACCCACCCTGCTCCTTGATGCTGGATGACCCCACCCGTGCCTCTGGGGCTCCTCTCCCTGTGCCTTCATGGCTCTGCCGTCCTAGGGAAGGAGAGTGCTTGGGGTCCCATGTGTCATCGGAGTTCTGGGGAGGGGACATCAAACTCCTTCCTCCTTATGTGCACACCCTATGTCCATCCCCACCCGCAGTCTTCACTCTAACCTTTCAAGGCCTGATTCAGGGAGTGCTCAGTGCTAGGGTCAATGCGCTGGCCCCTCCCACCTTCTTACTCACCACCCTTGCGCCCTTCCCAACCCTCCCTCCCTGCCAACCCCCAGGCCTCCCTCAGCCCTTGTGCCACACTTTCACCACACCCCTGCCAGCTGCTGCAGTTGGGGAGTTGATGCTGATCTCAGCTCCTCGGTGGCCCCCAGCTCCCAAGGCTGCTCCCTCTTAATAGATACCCCTCCAGCTATCCAGCCTGGAATCCTAGAGCTCCCTCAATCTCTTCCCACTTCACCCCCATTCCCAAAGCTACTAATTCCTGGATTCCTACAGCATCTCTTCCTAAACATTCCCTCCAGCTCTACCTTCCCACCCCCATTCTCTCCCCACCTCCCTCTTTTTGAGCCAGGGCCTCACTGTATAGTTCAGGCTGGCCCTGAATTCACAGTGTAGCCCAGGCTGGCCTCAAAAACGCAGTGATTCTCCTGCCTCAGCCTCCCCAGTGCTGGGATTACAGGCCTGCGCCACTACACCCTGCCCTATTCTCTCTTAATCAGGACTTTCCAAGAGCTTCTTAACTGAACTCCTAACCACCAGTCTGGCCACTCTGATACTTCTGCCCCCCGAAAATCAGACTGGCCTTCCTATAGCAGCTGCTGGGCCCTTGAAGCCCTCCACACTTGGTGGGGCCCCACCTCATGCTTGGTGGGTCCCAGCTCCTTGGCCTGCCTTGCCAATGGCTCCCACCATCCCAAGCCACGCACCTTTCTCTAAGTGGTGCCCCCTAGGGCTGTGAGCTTCCCAGGGTGTGCCCTGCCATTCCCGTTTCCTGCAGGCTCCTCCTCTGCTCCCCAACAGCCTTCTAACCAAAATCCTTCCAGGATGAGCTTGTCAAGGGATGGGGTGTAGCTCGGTGGCAGAACTCTTGACCAGCATGTAAAGGCCCTAGGTTTAATTCCTAGTCCCACAAAACCAAAACAGTACCATCTACTTGTCCTTCTCCTCTGGAAAGACTTGCCTGACCTGACCACCGAGACCGCCCACTGTGCCATCCATGCCACTGGTCACCTGGGACACCCATCCTTTCCATGTCCCTCCTTTCCCTCCCCTCAGTAGAGTATGAGCTTTCTGTGAGCAGGGCCTGGGATTTATTCAGCTATCTCTAAACTACGCGGCCAATGTCTGGCACAGAGCTGGTACTCAGGAATGCTTGTGAAAGGGAGGGAGGGAGGGAGGAGAGGGGTTTTACACTTCCCTCTAGAAGCCAAAGTCTGCTAAGACCAGCTGCCTCTCTTCTTGAGACTACAGGTAGGCCTGAGGCTGAGAGGAGGGGCTGTGACCTAGGTCTGTCCTTCTTTCTGCAGAATCCAGGCAGTCTGCAGCTGCGTCCTGACAACTCTGTGCCTGGACAAGGCCCTCCCCCGCCCCAGCAGCCTCCACCTCCCTGGAGGCACACCCTTCCCCCCAACCTTTCCAGACAGGTGCTTCAGGACAGAGGACAGGCATGGCTTCCCCTTGGGCCTCCTCAGTAGGTGGTAAGTCTGAGCAGGAGAGAATGACTGGGATAGCAGACCTCCACACACACCTGGGTAACCTCAGGAAATGGATGGGAGAAACCGTAGGCAATCAAAGCTGAAGAGGACCTCAGCCCTCATCTATCACGAGGATGGCAAAAGGGTGTCATCTTGCCTGCCAACTCCAATCCATTGGTCATGGCTGCCTAGAGTGCAGCACTGAAAAGGATATTAAGGTCACATCTGAACTCAGCAGAAAAGAGCACTGTGATTGATTAGTAATGTCTGCTCTGGATGCAGGAGGGAGAAATAGCAGTGCTTCATCTGCCCTTACTGAACAAATCTAGCTCCCTCACTGTGCAGATAAGGAAACAAAGCTAGCAAGGCATACTGACTTGGCCAAGGTCAAGAACTAAAACCTAATCTTCCTGATTCCCTCATTCAGTGGCCTGCTCCTTGCCCCACATCCTGTAACTCTTCTCCCTAGGAAACAGAAATTTCCTTGGGTAGGTAATCTACCTGCTTTCCACAGTTCTACCACTGAGGCCCTTAATGTTAGGTTCCCTCCTGGACCCCAGTTTAGCCCCATGCCCTTGACAGTCTGCCCCCCACCCTCACCTCCAGGAAGCCTAGAACTCAGAGGAGCAAATGTGGAATCTGCCTCCTCTTAGGGACCTGTGAACTGACCCGTTCCCAAGAGTCTCCAAAAATCGACTGCCTCAGTGCCAGCAACCCTCTAAGATGGCAAGATTGTTCAAGGAGTCTCTGCCGGCTGCTGCCCTGGTTTCTCCTCGTGGAGTCTAATTTCCTTGGTCCTCTGGGCCTTTGAGTCTGGGCTCTGGTCCAATGCTGCTGTTGTCTGAGGAATGGTTTGGCGAGAACAGATGTTAGAACTTGTTTGTTGATTCTCTAATAAATCATCACCAACAACCTGCCACCCTCTGGGATCCAAGTCCTCCAGCCTGTCTCTTTTTCTCCCCTCCCCCACCGTCTGACTTCTCTGGCATATTTCAGGTGCACTGCCACTGCAGTGAGGGCGGACAGGTCTGGCGGTTGAAAGACCCCTGGGCAAGGGTCACAGATCTGTCGGCTGGGGTTTGGAAAGGACACACTGAACTCCCTCTGCCAAGTATGCCTTCTCTAGCTGGGGTGGCTGCACCACTTTGAGGGTACCAATAAGAAGGGTGCCCCTTCATCGCCCCCAGCCCCTCTGTCAGGGTCAGGACAAAACTGTGTGTGAACCCCTTGGAGTATGGGGACCCCTTGAAATGGCTCCAGGACTTCCTTTATCTTCCTGGCCTCTTGGGCTTAGGCCTTTTGCCTCACTTGGGACCCCATTCCCTCTCCCACCCCTCATGTGACACTTCCTCCCCTTCTCTGCCCAGACCCCTTTAGGGCCAGCCTCCTGCCCCACAGCAAAGCTCCACTCACTTAAGGGCTTCAGACAGTTGGAAGAATCTGGCCTGTGTCTTATTTTTGTCTCTGACTGGGGGCTGTCAGAGTCAGGGCCATGTCTAGCCTGGAAGGTCCCCACAGCAGACCTGCCCCAGATCTGCTCAGGCCTGGGTTAGGCTGTGGTTTCTCTCCTCTGCATCCCCATTTCTGGAAGGGCTGAAGCAAGGCAGTACCTGTTGGGGTCTCCCTTCCTGCTAAGGGGTGCTACAGCAGTCCTGTGGCCCCGTCCCTCAAGCCACATTGCCTAGGCCTGGGCATTGCCAACACCATGCCACCCCCAGCCTGGCTCCAGTGCCAGCTCCAGTGACTCGCCAGTTCCCTCCTTTCCACGCCAGTGCTAATCAGCTTAAGGAGAAACATGGATGCTGAGTCAACAGAGTTGGGGTTCCACTTCCTTTGCCTGTAGGTCTAAGCCCCTTGTGAGCAAAGGGGAGCATGGAAGCAGGGAGCAGATGGCTCTGCTGAAATCTGCGAGGATGCTGAAAGTGCAAGAAAGGCTTCAGGTTAGATTCAAGTCACCTGGCGATCCTTGTGGCAGGTGGAGGCGGCAGCAGTGTGGCCTCCACAGCAGAAACTCGGGTAGCAAAGTCAGAAGCAGAGGACGCCCAAACGTGGGTGGGGATCTAACAGCACGAGCAGGGCAGGAGGGGGCAGAGACCCCTGGGACCCATGGGCCTCTGGTAGCTGGTGGGGCAGATGGGATTGGTGTGCCAAGAGCCGTGGCTTCCTATTCTGGCACTATGCTAAGCAGCTGTGCCACCACTGGCAGGGGCCCGTTTTCATGTTTCCCTGTCCCGATTCCTCATGGAGATCAAAACTCACGTGCATGTGAGGCTGATGCACAGGAGACCATGCAGGTGATGGGCTTTGGCAGGCAGGACTCCTGGGGCCAGAGGGACTCCAGAGACCCTGGGTGGCAAATTTTTGGTTCAACTTAAGAGAAAACTCGTATCTAAAAGGGAGGTGACAGGGAGCCCAGGGCCCAGATCTGTCATCCCAACCCATCATTGATACCACAGGGCCCCTGGCAGTAGAAAGATAAGCTATGGCCCAGCCCTGAAGACCAAGGAGGTGGGTCTCCCTTCCCCTCACAACCAGGCACCACTCTGCTGACTTCACTACCAAGGTGAGACCTGGGGCTGAGGGAGACCTCAGGATGGAGGAGCAGTTGGTCTGCTTCCCAGTAAAGTTTGTCTACCTTTTAACCTGCTAGCATTTCCCTTGGTGACCAGAATATCCCAGCCACCAAATAAAAATGCCATTTTGGAAGGACTGGAAAGTGGCTTTTTAAAAAATGCAGCTTAAGACTACTTGAGAATGGAAGGGGATGGGAAGCCAGAGGACCCCGACAGCTCTCTAGCCTAATCCTGCCCATTCCCCAAAGACTGGGTGTCTCTCTCCTCCCTCCTAGGCCAGAGCACATCCTGCTACAGTGTAGTACAGGCCCTAAAATGAGAAAGCTGGACTGCTGCATCATAGGGGGGCAGCAGCTCAGGTGGGAAGGGCTGCACCTAGAGAGCATGCTGGACTCGCGGGGATCACAGGCACACAGCCGCCCAGAGCCACCCCATCACCTGAGACACCCTTCAGAGAAGACTCAGCTCTGGCCCGGTGCCTCTGGAGATAATAGGGGGGTGGTCAGGGCTGGTGCTCTGGGCTGAAGGCTGGCTGGACGCACAGATTTGGACAGCTACAGCCTGCGTGTCCCTGTGGGCTGCAGGAGCCCTGTCTGGCTCCAACCCGAAGTAGGTCAGATTTCAGATAAGCGGGTGGTTTTCTGGTAAGTGACGAAATCCTCCAGTGGACTTAACGAGAAACAGACTCCTCAACTTAACCCAGCACACAAAAGCCCGGTGAGATGCCTCGCTCATGCTTCCTTCTCACCCCAGCTCCTGCCACACACACCTCTCTGCACTGACCCTTGGCCTCAGCCTTGCCTCTGCCACTAGGACCGCAGAGCAGTAGTAGACTCCAACTATACCCAGTGGGCACCTCCACATACACAGCACCAGAGCTCTCCTACAGGACCTCCCTCAGTGACCCTGTCCACATCAGCCCCCTTCAGAATGGTGCCAGTGGGGTTCCCAGTGTAGTCTGCACGCTGTCGTTGGAAACTCCTACTTGAACCTTGCCCTGAGAGAAAGGAATCAGACCATCTGTCCTGTCCCTCCTGTCTACAGTGCCCCACAGCTAACTGGAGTCTATGGACCCTGCTACCTCCCTTTCCCAACTAAGGGTAGAGATCTAGAAGTCTTCAGGGAGATGATCCTAAATTTATGAATGGGTCCAGGCCAATGACGTCTGTCTAAAATTTGTTTTGATTTTGTTTTTTGATACTGGGAATAGAATTTATGGCCTCGAGCTTGCCAGGCAGGCGCTGTGCTGCTGAGCTATATCCCTGGCTGTTTTGGTTTTCTGAGACAGGATCTTGCTGTGTAGCTCAGGATGGCCTTGAACTATGTAGCCCTGGCTGGCCTTGAACTTGTCGTAATCCTCCTGCCTCAGCCTCCTAAATGCTGGGATTACTGGTGTTTGCCACAACACCTGGCCCCTTTTTGTTTGATTTTGAGACAAGGTCTTGCTACGTAGTTCAGAACTACTATGTAGCCCAGACTATCTTTGAACTTGTGGCTCAGCCTTTTAGTTCAGCCTCCCTCGTGCTGGGACTATAGGGGTACACCACCACACCCAGCTGTTTCTAAATTTTTTTTTTCCTGAGACACAGTCTCACTCTGTAGTTCAGGCTGATCTTGAACTCACTATGTAGCCCAGGCTGGCCTCAAACTTGTGGCAATCCTCCAGTCTCAGTCTCCCAAGTGCTAGGATTTTAAGGGTGCACCATGATCCCTGGTGACATGTGTAAGTTTGATTCACTTCTGGGGACAGGTATTTCATCACTTCATTTTCTGCTGGATATAATTTTATATCAAACAACACTGTCGTGCCACAGGAAGAACCTTCCTGACTTCCTGTCTCCACAGACACCAAGGTCAGCAATATTTTCCGCATTTGGGATCACAGGGCCCTCCAATAGTCATCTTACCCCAATAAAACCATGCACACAATTTCAGGATCTTTGATGGCCACAAACACAGCTAAGATAGTGGATAAAAAGGAAAAAGCAAAGCAATGTCAAGGTAGTCCAGGGCCCTTTGGGGGCCCTACACACAAACTAGCACTGAGAGGTGCAAGGGGAGGGCAGCGGCTGTCAGACTGAATATTTTATTTCAACAGACATCCCTCTTTAAAAAAAAAAAGTTGGGGAAGAGTTCAACATTTGATCACACCCAACAGGGGGAAAACTCCCATCCCAGAACTCAGGGCCCCTTTGGAGGCAGCACTCAAGTCTTTGCCAGCTCCGTCACAGAAAGGAGCTGAATTTTCTAACTTGTTAAGAAAAATCTATCAAATATGTTCATTCTCGCAGAGGCGAGGGCTGGATCCTCAGGGAAAAGAGATCCTGGGCTTAGAGCAGTAGGGGTCCCAGCAGTGAAGCTGGGGGCCAGGCCAACTGGGCTGTAGGAGATCCTGGGAGCAGTCAGTTCCAGAGCCCTAGAATCCGTATTTTGCTTGGGTCTGGCGGCGGCTGAGCTTGTTCTCCGACCAGGTATTCTTCAATTCCAGCTCTCGCTCTTTAGCCTGTGGCAGAAGGAGGCAAGACGGAAGTCACAGTGGAGTGTGTATGTGTGTATTTAACCCAGGGCCTCAAGAATGTCAGGCAGGCTCCCTTCCACTGAGCTGCATTCCTACCCCTTAAAGTGGAATTCTGAAAGGTATTATCTTCTTGTCTCTGTGTTTTTCAACATAAAATCTTTCTCTTATCACAACTGTGGAGAAATAGCAAATTGCTTGAAAGATTTAGTTTTCTCTATCCCAAGCAAAAGGGGAAGACCCTATAAAAGTAGAGAAAAACCATCTAACTGGGGAGTCACAGAGGTTAGGCAGAAGAACCCTTGTGCTTGCTTTGGTATAAGTAAAGCTGAAATGCCAAGTGAGAATGAACAAAAGAAAATGAGAACAAGAAGGCGGCATCTGAAAGGAAGGCAGGTCAGCTGCCGACGACATCCTAACAACAGTGGGCAGCCTCCCAGGCTTGGTCATGTCACAGTGCAGGGCTGCCCAGTCACAGCTCAGTCTAGAAATGCAGCTTTGCTGCTGTGTTGAATACAGCGTTATGTGGTACCCTAGAAACCCACAATGGTTGTGTGTGTGTGTGTGTGTGTGTGTGT